GGGTACAGAGCAGTGCCCGGCCCCGGCCTGTGCACCATGAATATTTGTAAAAAGATGAATGAATTATTTAGGTGTCTGGTCCGCTAACTGTCTGGATAAAATGCCACATTGTCTCTAGCGTTTCACAGTTAAAAACTTGACTGCGAGGACTTACCTTTGTGTGTTTGTCCAGGAGCAGCGCTTGTTTTAGGGAGGGGTGTGCCAAGCCGTGGCTCGACACCTGGGACGTGTCGCCTCCCAGGGGACACTTAGCGATGTGTGGAGACAGCTGTGGTCGTCAGGACTCTGGGGGAGCGATGCTCCCGGGACACCTGTGCACATCCTCCAGTGCCCCCCAGGGGTCTGAGTGCCGGGGGCCGAGGACCAGCCACTGTGTTGCCACCGTCTGTTGGGTCAACGTGCTGTGGCCAGTCTTAGAGCCCTGTCCTGTGCTGGGGCAGTGGGTGGAGGGGACCACCCTGCCCTGAATTGTGGGGCTCGTGGGAGGGCAGCGAAACATAGGCAGGACCCAGAGAGGCCACCCAAAGTGCGAGGGTCTAGAGGAGAGCCTGGTGGGAGGGGGCTTGTTTCTGGACCACCATCTGCCCCCTACACCAGCCTGAGTGGGTCTCTCACCACAGAAGTCTGGCTGTGTTCCCCCCTCCAGACCCTCTGTGGCTGCTGTCATACCTAGAATGTGGTCTAGAGCCCCCAAGAAGGCCCTCTGTGACCCAGCCTCATCACCGGCCCCCCTTCCCTCCCTCTTCCCAGCCCCACCCCCCTCCTCCCTGTTCTTCAAACACACCATGTGTGTTCCTGTCTCCTGGACTTGGCATTTGCCATTCCTTCCGCGGGGAACATTCCGCCCCCAGGACCCCCGTGCCTAAGAAGCTTTCCCTGCCAGTCCCCCTTGTCCCTGCCCCTGCCCCGGTCCTGGTTACTTCGTGGCCATCACCACCATCAGTCACAATACTCTGCATCCCTGAGCTTATTTCCCTCCCCGGGGTGGGGGGCGGCGTGCTGGGGGCTGTTCTGGTTCACTGTTGTACCTCGCACAGAGCCGGGCACACAGCGGGTGTTCATCAGCATTGCCGAATGAACTAAGGGGTCAACGACAGCGTGGTTGTTCAAGCCTGGGACACATAACCTCAGTGTCCGTCCGTAGGAGAGGATAAAGTAAAGGCATTTCCAGATGCGAGGCTCCTTGTGGCCAGGGGGGATGAGGTCAGTGTGCTTCGTTGATGTGGAAAGATGTCCACAGTATCTTGCATAAAAGCCAAGTTTATATGAAACAGCAGTAACCGTCCCAATTATGAGGAATTGCACACACGTGTTTTTATAGACACACATGCGTGCAGCTTAGACTCAACAATCACAGGGGTTTGTTCATTTTGGTGGTTGGGGCAAGAAACGAGCTTCAGGACTGGTTCGATCCAGTGGCTCAGCGACATCACCAGAGATTCTGCATCTGTCTCTCTGTTCTTCCTTCCACCAGATCAGCCCCATTTGAAAATGTAAACGTCTCGTGGTCTCTGGTTGGTGGCCGTTTCTGGGGCTCCGTCCATTCCTCCTCCCTCAATCTTGTCCAGGGAGAGAGAAGGTTGTTTTCAAATGCTAAAGGGGAAAGTTTCTTTTCCAGAAACTTCCAGGGTACCTCTCTTCCGTTCATTGATTGCATTGGGTTCTGTGTCCGTCCTTGAGCCAGTCACTGCAGCTAGAGGATTAGTTGTTGTCCGTTAGACCACAGGCCCACCCCTGTGGGGTCTGCTAAGGCACCGAGGCCGAAATGAAAATTGGGTTGGGTTGGATACCAAGGAAAGGGGGCACGGGTGAGACAAATAGCATCATCCCCAATTTACAGATGAGGCAGTTGAGGCCCCAGCATCCAACTTTACCTCTCTTGGCCCACACAGGGTGGTCGGTGGCAGATGTGGGTTTAAACCCCTTGAGGTTCCTCTTTCCCCCCGTCCACCCATCGCTCTGCTGAGGCTGTGGGTCCCCGGACCTGGCTGTCCTGACAGCTGCAAGAGCCAGCCAGACCCCCTCCCTTGGTGCTGCACGGCCCGCTCGCGGCCCTTAGATTTACTGTACCTGGAACAGCATCAGGTTTTCAAGCGAGGCATTTTTATTTTGCCCTAAAAGCCTTCCAGGTGGGGGTGGGGGCCAGATACAATCCCTAGGGGCTCAGGTTTAATGGCTTCTTTTATAGAATCGTTCGAATTATAAATGCATGAACTCGAGGAAACCCTTGCTAAAGAATGCAGGAAAGCCGAACATTCAAGGGGGTGAAGGTGAAACAGTGGTGGATGGGGGACGTTTGCTCTTTTAAACATGAGCTGTTAAAAAACCAAAGCGAACCCCCCGGTGCCGATCTGGTCCCTGGGAGGCTGGATTTCCTGACTTGGGCCCGTCTGGGGGGCTCCAGGTGAAGTTAATTCCAGATGTGGACGGGCCCAGGGCCTCCAGAAGCACCACGTTCATTGGCCTCTGACCCCTCCGACCTAACTGGGGGTTATGCATTTCTGTCCCGGTTACGCAGCCCGGGTTCAAATTCTGCTCTGTCACTTCCAAGCTGGATGTCCTTGGGCAGGTTATTCGGCCTCTCTGGGATGTTCTCTCATGAGTGAGATCGGCTTTATCTTTCTTTGGAATATTTATCACCATGTGGCATGACAACAAATACACCCTGGCCAGTAGCCTGAGCTGACAGCTGGCTCTCAGCTCCCAGCCTGCTCCGCCCAGCAGCGGAGCACAGGACATGGCGCTTGTTCCGTCTGCTTTCTCCTGTCTGTCTCTCCGGCCCCGTACCCTCTGGGTGCCCTCCTTCCTCCTCCCCAAGCTTCTTCCAGATCCTTCCAGATCCTCCCTAACTGGGCACTCTGGTGCAAGCCCTGACCTCTCAGTGGTAGAGTCAGGGTGCCTGGGCTCGGCCCTGAGGCTGCTGTCCAGCTACACCCCATGTCCAGAGGAATTCCTCCCTGTCACCCCAACCGATGCCCCGAGCCAACATTTATCGAGCACATCCCACGTGCAAAGCTCTGTTCTTGGAAGGGTCTGTGTGTTGAGTGACAGAGGCAGGACTTGAACCTGGGAAGTCTGGCGCCCGGCCAGAGTGTGTGTAGTTCCAAGGTCCGTCTCTCCCCCCCAGATCGGGAGCTGCACCCAGGCTGGGATGGTCCGCTGCCCACCTGCCAGGTTCCCTCGGGCGACAGGTGGACACCGAAAGTGGCAGCCATTGAACCACACTGCGTTCAGCCTTCCACCCTCCCCAACCCTTGGCTCAGTTTCCCCACCTCCATTAATGGCCCCTCCCTTCTTCCAGGTGCTCAGGCCCAGAGCCCGAAAGTCAGGTGTGACTCTGCACCTTCTCACAGCCTCTCTGTCCAGTCCCTCAGCAAATTCCGCCAGATGTTTCTTTCAAAGTGGATCCAGGCTCTGTTGTTTCCCAGCTTGGGATATGCTCTCGTTATGTGACCGTGGGGTGAAACTGGGGAAGGGGACAGGGCACGTCCCTGTACGTTTTCTTCTGCAACTTCCTGTGAATCTGTAATCATTTCAAAACAAAACTTTAAACGTAAATTCCAAAGACGGATTTGAAAAATGAATCCCTGAGGATCTGTCTCTGGCCAGCACTGCTCACCGCTGCCTGGAGCCAGCACTGTCCCTCTCCCTGGACTGTCCAGTAGCCTCCCCCTGGCCCCCCAGGGGCACCTGAGGTGCTCTATTAGAGACAACTCGGGGTGCCCGCTGCGCAGCTTAAACACCCCGTGGCTGCCACTTCACACCACCATCTCAGTCCCTGGTCCACAAACTGGGGGGCTTAAAGCAGCAGGGCTTTGTCCTCCCGTAGTCTGGAGGCCAGAAGTCCCAGGGCTGTACCCCTTCCGAAGGCTTGAGGAACAAGTCCTTACTTGCCTCTCTTGGCTTCGCTGGTGTTTGGTGTTTGTTGGCCTCCTTCCCTCAGGGTGTGTGTGTGTGTGTGTGTGTGTGTGTGTGTGTGTGTGTGTGTGTG